TTAATAAGCTGCTTTTGTATTAACGCTTAATGCAGAAGGTGGGCATGGAATGAAATCCAAGTTATAGAGTATTTTATGTTGTGTGATTATAACACAGAATCTAAACACATTAAAATGCCTTAAAAGCATTAATTTCTGCCATGCTGTCATCTTTTTTATGCAGATGACAGCATAAAAAAGGAAAAGTTAAAAATTATCCACAACAAAATGTTCTTCCATTTTTGTAACCTATAAAATCTTTTGACTGCATGTCGTACTGATACGTTTATTGTATGAATCTTCTTCATTCCTCTTTTTTCTTCTAGCTTGCTGATAGCTTGAATCAGAACTCCGGAGTGTCCATCTGCACATCTGGTCCTGTGTGTTCTGGACTTTTAAAGCAGCTTTGTATTTGGGCCTGTGTAGAATCAAAAGGCTTGTTTGGACAGGAAAGCTCCATCTATAGAGCGCTCTCTGTTTCTCTGCACATTGTGACGCTGCCCAAGAGTGTGGAGGTTGCTTTTCTGGCTTTTGTGCTTTCTGCTCCATTGTGTATTTAAAAGAAAATGGTGTAATATACAGTATGTCCCGAATATTTCAAAAACACGCCGGCTGCCGTTTTTATGCAGAAGTTCCAGATGCTCATTGTTCAAAGATGAGAAGGTCGAGTGAAATTAATTGCAATGTTCCTCTGGACATTTAAATGTTATCATATATATCGGAGGAATGTTTTATTCTGAAATTATGCCAATTGAACTTCAACCATCTGAAATAGTAAAGAAAAACTGTTGTCATACAAATTATTACCATTCGGCTTCAAATAAAATGCTTTGTGTAACATCTTTATTCGGAGAATTCGGCACATATTGTTCAAATCTGTTTGTGTTGCTTGGGTTAAATAGGTATTTGTAACTTATAGATAATTTACAAATATTTACATTAATTGTTGGTTTAAAATGAGTAAGATACAAAAAAAATGATGGCTTTCATTTGTAAAAATGATCAGATCGAGGTTGATTAGGACACAATGGTTCATTGGGGGAAAACATCTGTTAATCCAGATGTGGCCATCTACTTTAATTCAGCTGTTAGATTCTGTTTGTTCTGTTGAGGATTTCCTCCTGTGTGTTTTTTGTTTTAGTGTTTTTCTGAAGAAAAAACACCATCAGCTCATTAGCAGCAATAAAGGTTACAGATGTAGAAGCTTTCTGTATGCCGTGCAATCTAAAACGTATATGTTTGACCAAAATTTCAGCTCCCTTCACTTGCAAGGCAACTGTAGCACAGTAAAAGGCAGGGCACAACTTGGAGGTGTGTGCGCTTCTTCCCAGCTGGGGAGCCTGCTTTTTAAATTTCAGGGATGACATGTGATACAGGTGCGAGTGAACCAAGGATCCGAGGTCTCCAATTCATTTTTGGGCCAAATTTGATGCGAGTGGGCCATAATTGTTTTCTCTTCAACTGGAAGCTGTTTGATTCCATTACTTTAGTCTTTCTGGGACTGTTGGTGTTTACTTAGTATTTTGTGTAGACCTTGTACGGCAAGATAAACGAGTTGGTTATTACTGCTTTTAATTGGAAAAAGCAACCGTCTTCAAGTACATGGTTGAGTTAAATATCATAAATACTTAACTCGGATCACCTGTTCTAAAAAAAAAGACTAATTTGATTAAATCGAATCAGGTGATGCTGTTTATTCTCCAATGTTCTCAAACAAACCTTAGACGTTCACTAATTAAGTGACTTCTTGAACGTTTTATTCAGGAGAATGATAAATGAGGGCTCAATACAAATTCACGTCACTTTTAAATTTTTGATTTAGGATAAAACTTGGAAGCAGACATCTTTTTCCCTTCTACTTCACAATTATACTCTAAATACTCAGTCACATACAATCCATTAAGAACTTGAGAATTGTTGTACACCAGCTGTTTGTAGGTCATAACCTGTCCCATTTCCAATTCCCCCCCCCCCCAAGTGTTGTGTGAAAGGTGTGGTTGGCAGAATTACATAAAAACCTGCCATACATTACGATCCATCTAGTTCTTTATAGAAGGCTGGGAAACCCCTACAAGACACAATGGCCGTCAGATTTTCTGGACCGCGTTTATGGCGTTTGTGCCCGTTGGTTTCTGGTTCTGGTCCTTTGTGTTTTATTTGTTCCCCCCTTTTTTTGCCCCCATTCTACATCACCCAGATCCCCAAACAGAGAGCAAGGGGGCCCCTTCTCCCATTGGCCCGTCTCCACTTTCCCTCAAAACTCGGGATCGGCGCACAAAGAGCGCGCAGCCAATAGCAGAGAGCTTCTGGGGAAAGCCCGGCCAATGCCCGCCGCCCTGTTATTTACACAGAGACCGACCCGGCCAATCAGGAGTCGTCACAGCGCAAGGATTCTGACCCCTCCAGCCAATGGGATCGGGGAGGCACAGAGTTTTGTGGGAGTGCATATAATCAACATATTATCCAAGGTGGCTCAGATATTGATCCGGTATTCCTAGGTAGTTCAAATTCACCTCCCGCTGCCCTTCGGCTTTGACCTCATTTGTCTCCCTCCCCTCGCCCTCCTCCTTCTTCGAGCTTGGTTGGAGAATTATTCACGCGCAGAAATGCCGAAGAGAAAGGTGAGTTCCGGCCGGCGCACTTCACTGTAGTTCTTTTCCCCCTCTCTCTCCCCCTCACCACCACCACCACCACCTCTCGCTTTGGACGAAAATAGCGGTGCGCGATTAATGTGGCGACGTCGAGGCAGGCAGGTGAGGCGAGGCGAGGCGAGGTGATGGCAAAGTTTCAGAAAACCCGTCCTGCCACTACGCTTCTTGTTTTTAGTGTTGTGTATTTTTTACGACGTGTTTTCTTTTTTCTATTTTTCATTTTTATTTTCGCATCATAAATATTTCTGTCCTCACGTCAGCGTTTGTATGTTGGTCATTTTATTTTTGCCACTTCCCTGTCCGAGACGGTGCGGACTGGCGAGAATGTCAGACGGATTCGCAAGATGGATGGATGGATAGATGGGTGGGCGCGTGAATCTAACTATAAATGCTGAAGACTTTTCATTTCAGAATATTTTTCAGAAGCAAAAGGAAGGAGAAAAAAAACACATCGCACCCCCCTTGGTCTAAATTTAGTTTGGAGAAATGGTAGGCGCCAACCCGAATGAGCAATCCCATATTCAGGAAGAGAGCAGGCAAAAAAACAGACAAGGAAGGAAGAATTAGGGAATTGCTGTTGCCTCTTTACTGTCTAAACAGCAACACGCGTCGAGTGCCATTGGATTGTGTTAGTGCGTACGTGGAATTTGGCGTTTGCATCACCTGAAATCTACTATTGTCTGCGCAGAATCTCCTCTGAGGACAGAGAATGGGGTGGAGAGGGAGAGCGATGGGGGGTATTTAGGGGCGGAGGGGTCGCCCACATGCAAATATGCGATTGTCAAACTGCATGTAAAACTGCCCTCCCCCCCCACACACCCTCCCGTGCTGTGTACCTACACCTGCATCCAAAAGGTGTAGACCTGTGCTGTTCAATGCACATCCTAGTGAAATTGTTTTGTTTTTTTTTTGTCACACTTAAATGTCTCAGGTCATCAATTTGAATTTCAAAAAGATAAAGATTAGCAACGGCAACAGAATAATCGTCAGAAGTTTACCGACGAGTGACTCAGAAAACCAACATAAGGGTTTTTGGAGCAGCCTAGACAAAGTCTGGACGTTTTTGCATGACCTTAATAGAACGAAAACAAATTCTGCAAAGAGGAGTGGGCCAACACTCTTTCCTGTTTTGTTGGATAGGTTTTTTTTTTTTTTTTTTGTAATTAATGAAATCTTCATTCTAATTTTCTACTTGTTTCTTATATGCTCAGGTTATCTTTGGTTGATATTCAAGTTAGTTTTTTTGATTGGAAATATTTATTGCGACAAAATGCAAAACAGGAGAATATGTAAGGGGGCTAAGAAGTTTCCCTCTATGCGATATATCCACAAAGCCTATAACTTGTTTTACTGTGTTTAATAAGCTAAGGATAAAATTCCTTTAAAAAATTAGGTTTTTCTTTCTTTCTAGTCAGTTATGGCGACACAAGAAATTGCAAATGTTTTGTTTCAGTATCAGTTTGCACAACATTGCAAAATGACTGGATGGCTGGAACTCCTGACTAATATTCTGTAAGAAGGAGGAAAACATGAATTCATCTCAACTGATTTTACCAGTGTAATGTTTATTATATACCAGGGGTGCACCAATTTATCAGTCAGCCGATTTATCTGTGCCAATTTCCTTAATTTTGGGAGATCGGCCGACTTTTACCTGTGAAGCCGAGCTTATCCACCGATGTTATCAACCTCGGCAAAGGTCTAACAATCAACCACTGTGCTTTTTTTTTCTCCCTTGAGAGACGTTTGACAAACTGGCCGACCAGGTCATGTCTGCACATTTACAGTTAACAGTCACCCCATTCTTACCAATTCAGCAATTTTCTTGATATTTGAGCAACATTTCAGACAAACAAAATGGTATCGGCTAAAATTGAAATTGTTAAGTTATTCTTTTTAAAAGCTCTGTAATCAGTGATCGACCAGAAAACTGCAGTTGGTGCAGCCCTATTATATCTGGTGCATTGCTTTGATTTCTTCATGCATGTTTGAGGAATCCTTGAATCTTCCTTGTTGGGTCTGCTGTATCGTTCTCTTGATAGTATTCCTTTATGTTCATCTCCAACTCTTCCTCCAGACTGGAATCTTGATTTAAAAATGAAACACAAATTTTACTTTTATCTAAAGTCCAGTTTTTTTTCTTCCAGTTCCAGATGAACTGGTACAAGAAATGTGACAGTTGTAGGCCATGTCTTGCTTGGATGTGTTTGTGCTTGGTGGCACGTGAACCACTGACTGCATCTGCAGTTCATGTCTTATAAATTTATCATAAACTCCTCCATTTTTTAAGCTTCACAATCCTGTCAATGCTGTGGTTATCCCTCAAACTTGTCCCCCCCCCCTTTTTTTTTTTTACATGTTTTCCTTCCACTGAACTTTTGATGAATATGAAAAGCTGTCACTTCAGCAGTCTTAACTATGATTATGTAAGCTGTCACATGTCTTTTATTTTGTCGTTTGTGATATTCGTCCATTTTAAGTGAATAACTAACCAATTAACATTTGAAAATTTGTGGTTTATCCAGATGTACCTGTATGAACAGGGATACAAAGGTTCTGACTGGAACCTTTGTATTTGTGCGTTTCTGGTACGCTCGTAAATCTGACGCTCAAGCAACAGCAGCGGATGACAGTAGCGCTTTTTGGGCCCACTGTGGGTTTAATTTAACCTTTAAAAGACAATCTGATTGGACACTGGAGAAGATTATTGTTGTGTTCCACTTGTGCTAAAAGAAGTTAGCATAAGTAGCATCTCAATGCTAACCATGCAACCGCACAGATAAATGTCAGCATCCACAGCTCACATTTCAAGAAGTATTTAAAAAAAAAAAACACATTACATTAATGAAACATTTGAAAGCCAATTGTGTATAACATCACTTTAATCCATTCTTATGGTTGAATTACCTAAATAACAGATTAAAAACAATACGGATCATTGTTGTTGAGCACATACGTCAATTTATCCAATAATTCAGCATTGTCATTGATTATTTGAATCGGAAATAAGCGGAAATTACATATCCGCTTATTTTGCAGATTTGTAATTTTAGATTACGATCCATTTAATTGGGATTAATTAATTAAAGACCCTGCAATTAACTCAATTCAAAATTATAATCTAGTCCTGCCATAAATTTGAATATACTCTTGCAAATATTACACTTGTCAGCCGGTCCCATGTGATCTTAAGTGATCTTGGGGGTGGGAGGGGTGCGCATTCAGTAGCTGAATGTTTCACTTATGCCTTGGGCCGGCACTATTTACAGCCCATTACTCCACGAAGGAACTCTGTTGTCAGCCAGAGGCCTCTTTTATTAAAATGGAAATCACCGGAGAGCTTCCAGCATCATCACGGCGCATCTCATTTGCACAACATGAACCTGTAGTGCATCTCTAAGCAGTTTTCAACCCATAAAAAGAAGAGAAATGTGGTAATTAAATCACTCAGGTGGAACTTTACCAAACATCAGGCTCTATTAGATATGCAAAAATTACAGATTGATAAATCCTAATTAGTTTTGCAAACCTTTAGAGTTGAAGTTATTTCCCCCAGGGGTCGACAAAGAAGGCCTGTAATTTATTTTAACTCAACAATAAGCAAAAGATTATAAATCCTACAACTGTTTTCACTGGTTATAGTTTCCTAGTAATGTAAGAATTCCTAGGGGCGAAGTAACCCCTAAAAATGGCGCATTTTAAATTTATTAAAATACGAAAATCGGAATTAAAAGGATGTTTTAATTTTTGACTTCAGTTTTATAAAATTAAGAATAACAACATCTCTATTAGGAGTATCCAAGTCCAAAGGAGCATCGCAAAAATAAAGAGCACTTAACCCTTTCTTTTATTGTTTATTTGTGGAAAAAAAATAAACATTTTTGAACCGAATCATCTTAATCATTCAAGGCAATCAATGTAAATCACTCAAATCTTTAGTTTTTAACCCTCTTATTTTCTTTTCTTTCAGTCCCCAGAGGGTGCTGAGGGTAAGGAAGCCTCTAAAGTCACAAAGCAAGAGGTAAATATTTGACATGGAGGTTAATTTGTTTTTTTTGTGCTGTGTTTGTTACGACATGCCGTGAGTTTGTATTGACTGTACTGACGGTGTATCTATATGTATGTGAAAACAGGGCAGGTTAATAATTAGGGCATTTGTAGCTGCCCACAGAGTGTATTTGATATGTCTCTCTCTCTCTTTTTCTTTTTCTTTCTCTCTGTCTCTCTCTCTCTTGCTCTTTTCTCATCCCTTGCTCCTTCAAGCCCACCAGAAGGTCAGAGAGATTGTCGGCGGTAAGTTTCCCCTCTCCCCCTGCCTGTCTTCACCTCTGTAGCTGTCCTCTCTCCACTCTCTTTGAAACTCCCCTTGATACAGCACAACCGTTGCTAAAGTCCCAAATCCAGTTTGCAGCTTTGATCGACGGAGTCGGTGTTTATAAATTTCATGATCGTTCTCCTCCCACCCCCCTCAGGGCCGAGTTCTGGCTTGGTATGCATGTGTTGTTTTTTTCTGTTGTTTCTGTCCGCTGTGGTCCGGGTCTGCTGCATGGCTGGTTTTAATCAGGCCAAATTACTAAAACCAGTTTCATTTAGATGAATAATCAGAGTGCTCGAGGTTACATTAGACATTGATAATCAAAGCAAAACGATCTGACAAACGATGATATTCTACATTACGCCAGTGACTCTGGTCATTCAGCTGTGCCCTACAAATGACTTCTCTCTCTGTGTTTTGTACTTTGCATGTTTTATCCATCTGTTGAGTCTTTGCATGTTTTTGCATGTTTGCATGATTACTTTAAAGGGGCTGTGTTATGTAAAATTGACTTCTTTTAAGCTTTACATCATGTTACAATGTTATTCTCTCATCAAAAACATGCCTAGAGTGGTGCTTTGATTCTTTCATGCATGTTTGAGAAATCATTTAATTTCCATGGCAACCATTAAGCCGTCTCTAAGGTGGAGATTTAGCTCCACCTTAGAGATGCAGCTCCTCCTTGAAGCTTCAGTTTCCAAACTACTGAGTTTCTCCCTCCCATAGTCACTTCCCCACTCAGCTCCTTCAGACTAGCCAGCAGCAATTAGCAAACACCTGGTGTAACTGCACATCTGCTGAGATCATAATAGAAGCTACTTCTCAGTGAAACATTGGTAAAAATGTTGTTAAAAGGTCAATAGAGGAGATTGTGATGACATCTTCAAGGCGGAGTTTCAGAAAGAACAGGAGTTTCTTAAAGTGACAGAGGCCAAATTTCAAGACATTAAATTGCAAAGTAAATGTAGCATTTTTTTTTTCAACTGAAGTTAACATACTTACTTGACTGTGGTATAAAATGTTACTATGTTCCTAGAAAAGAGATAATATTGATCCTTTAAAGGAATAATACTTGAATATTTTTGGGATAACTAGATTTTCTCTTTTTCACCAAGAGTTTATAGAAAAGGATCACCGCCGCAAAGTCACTTTCAACATGACTTTAAAAACATTGTTTTTGCTTGTCACAGTTGAAAGTTAAAAAGTATACACACAAAAAGAAATATGTATGCTTTTCCAAAGCTGCTTTTTGACACAAAACAGGATGGGATGGTAATAATATACCATGATTTTTTTATTTTATTTTATTTTTTAAATACAATCATAATCATTAGAATTGTCACAGTTAACAGGTGAACATCTTTGTAATTTTGCCAGGTTGTGTCTGGCATAAGCGACATTTTACAAAGTAAACAAAATATTTCACATAAAAATTTGTGTAATAAATGTATTCAGTTTCAACAGTATATAGCAGAGCGTATTCAAGGTGTATGTAGACGTCAGTTTTCAACTGTAGGTTGTTTATGAAGCATTTTTGCGTCAACATCAACTCTGTTTGATAAGTTTGGTGTTGTTTTTTTGGCAAATAGAAGTTCACCAGCTAGCTACATTCCTAGTCCAGACTTTTCTATTACAAGGACATTTTTTTTGTTAACATCAACAACATTTGAATAGGATTTCATTTATTGAAACATTTATCAGGGGCAAATTTGGACGGTAGTAGATTATTTGATTCACACATACATATTTTGACTAGTATATATGTATATACCTTTTGAAAAATTATAGAAATCTATACTGCAGAAAATATATTTCCCACGTTAAATTTGATGCTATTATAGAAAACACAATACGAAAACGGCGCCATTCATTGTTTTTTGCCCAATTCCCGACTTGGTGGTATCTTCATTTCAACTCTTAAAAGAGTTAACCTCACAGTGAACCATTGTTGAAGCTCTACAAGGCTCATCTTCTGTCCTGGAAGGATATTCTTAGGAGAAAAAAATCACATGATTTAACTTTTTTTGACTGCAGTGTTACCAAAGCTCATGGCTTCGGGGTGCACTAGTCCACACTCGGTACTGTAGGAAAATCTGCTATAAATTTGCTCGTTTTCCAGTGCGATCGTGTCACTGATCTGTCATTTGAGGTGAAGATGCAGAGGAATGTCACAAATTTGTAACATAGCAAAATCCAAGTATATTAGCTTTTAATCAAGATTCTCGTCAGACATGAGTTTCATTACCATCTGCTATATTAAGGGTACTATAACTATCATAAAATGGTTTAGATTGAAGAGACTGAATCAAATCATTCTTACAAAATGTGAAAATAGTCAATTCTCACTTTTGTTGCTGTTGTTTTTAGAAACCTGCTCCGCCCAAAGCTGAGGTGAAGCCCAAGAAGACCGTTGTCAAGGTGAGGAGCCCACTCAGCCGCGCTTTAAAAAGCCTGAAGTACTTGGTTCCCTCAGCGACCCTGCTGGATGCTCCCTCCACATTTACTGGCATCCCTGGTAAAAAATGTATAGAGGCATTAAAATACATTCTTCTTTTATTGCTGGTGCATAAACTAACTGGAAAATTTGAGAGTAATCCAACTTTTATTTTAGGCATATTGACTCAGTTGGAGACTGGGGGGGGGGAGTCGTTTAACAAAATCACAGGCGCTACATTTCCAATAAAAACAGAAATCCCAGTAAAAAATTAACTGAAACATTTTCCTAGTTTATGTTGTTTTGACTTTAAGATGATCAGAGAGTTGAATAACTTTTAATTAGTAATCCATGGTTTTCTATTTCCCTGGGATGTAAGTACGATGAGATACACAGAATCCCACTTCAAAGGTAAGACAAACAGGTTCTGGTCTTGAAAGTCTGGAAATGGCTATAAATAATAAGCTTCTAATCATGTCCATGTCAATGAAAGGTTTAAAAGTCTCCATATCAAGCATTAAATGCTGTCTCCATGCCAACAAGCTATTTACAAGGCATGCCAGATTTAGTTATTTGGGTCATATGAGACCAAAGTTAAGCTTTCTAACAACAAACACTCCAAGTGCGTTTGGTGTGAAACAAATGGTGGAAAAGTGCCTCTTGTCTGTTGCTAACAATACAAAGTAGGTAAAGAACCTGTGATGCTGCGGGCTTGCTTCTCTAACAAATGAATTTGGAGTCTTCGTAGAGTCTATGATAACTATTTGAGATGCCAGGGGGCCTTTAAAATGAAACCTTGCCGCTTCCGTGAAACTGGAATTAGCCCCTCATTAGCTCCTTAAACCTGGAGATCTTGTCTTTTGTCTCTTGGCAGAAGGATGAAAAAGGAGCAAAGGCCAAGAAGGGTGGCGCTAAGGGGAAGAAGGAAGATGGTCCGGCCCAGAACGGGGAGACCAAGGCCAACGAGGTATGAAGGGAGGAAAATAAAGCAGACTTTATTCCCTGAGGGATAGAAAGAAAAAACAAACACAGATTTTTATGTTGGCAATGTATGCAAACATCATCCTTTCAATGAATTACTTAACATGTGTTTTCCTCAGTAACTCACACCACGATCATATTATGTATCTCCTCCTTACACACACACATGAACACAAACATAGATCTATGTGTCTCGTCCATCTGTGAGTGTGTCCTCCATCAGAAGCATGGCTCCCTCCTTGATGTCAGTGAAAGGACAGAGCGAGACAGTCAGAGTTAAGGGTATGCTGCAGTGATCCTAATTCACCTCTCTGTGTGATTTTTTATTTTTTATTTTTTGTCACTAACCACTTTATCATTTCTACGTAGCTAACGTTTAGCCAGTGTGCCATGGAGTGCTGTGTTTGTTGGTTTGTTTGGAAATGTGACTTCAGCCGGCGGGGGTGGGGTCGGACGGGGAGGACATGTTGCTTGTTCTGCAGTGAAGTGAGCCAAGGACAGAGTTTTTACTGCTGCTGCACAAAGCTGTGAAGTGAAATGTGATTGGGTCACTGCGTTCTTAGGCAGCCGTTCCCTCCAGTAGTCACTCAGAGGAAGCAGACACATTGGATCCCCCTTTTCAAGTTAAGGCTGACTGCCGGAGATATTTTAGTGCTGGTTAGAAAACAATGAGGAGGAGTAAATCACATAGCCGGGAGAAGCTTTAAATATATTACAGATTGTTCAATCGATACACACTTTTCCGGATCAAAATTTATTACTTGCTCAGCAGGAAGGTGGCAAATTTGAGGTTTTAAATTATATATGTTTGATCTGACATTTGCCTTTTGGTTAGAAATGTGGCAGGTGGCCAGGCAGCTGACAGCTGGGAAAATTATGGTCACTTCAGCACATTGTATTACCTCTGTAGAAGTATCTGGTTCATACTTACTATAGAAACATTGCATGCTATTGTTTACATATGGAAATTTTGCGTATGCGCACAATGTTGTAAGGCAAAAAGATGATCCTTTTACCTGCCATGCATAGCTGCGCTGCCATAGTAGAACAATTTTGTTAGCAAAATGAAACCTAGAGATGTAGATATTATTAACACAGTATGGTGCGCCACAGCAAATAAAGGAATAACGCAGAAAAAAACACTGAAGAACAGCTAAAAACCACTCAAATTCTTCTTTTTTCTTGCTCCGTGCGTCGGCCACCCGGAGACCCGTCGCCAAAGCAACCGACTGACAACAGCTCCGTCAGTGTATCAGAATTCAGCACCAAAAAACACACAACAAAAACAACTTTCCCACACAAAGGACAGAACAGGACATCATGTTGCAAACAAGTTTCCATTTTCTTCAACAAATACTAATTCCACGCGATTTCAAGGAAGTATCCTGTTATCAGCAATGTGCCTTATGTCTCGATTCCACTGAAAACTACTGCACAGGTCGATTTGCTCATTTGTCTGTTTCCATTGTAAAAGCAAATCATACAACCAACCCGTATTGCACCTTTCAAGGGCCGCCTTTAATTGTACGTCCTTAAGGCAATGGTATGGTACAGTGAAGAGTGATACTACTGGTATCACACAACACAGTCCAATATTTAGGGAACACAAAACGTCCCTACTTGTGATAAGCACAAGACATATTCGCGTACCACGTTTGTCGAGGACAGAAACCAAATATGTTTCTGTATGTAATGCATCAGCCTGTATCTATTTAGGACAGGAAAACAACTATGTCCCGCTATAGACTAACCTACTTTTCATTATATTTGATTTGAGCACTTGTGACCTCAATGTCAAATTTATTTATAAGGCACTTTTAAAGCTGTTTGAGACTTCACTAAAGTTACTCCTTTGATTTATGATTCTTTTAATAAATGAAGGAAGAACCAGCTAACTCATATTTTCATTGATTAAAACAAATGCGCAAACTTTATTAAAACTCTACAGTCTGCAAGATTTCTCTCTTTTTTCCTCCAAATGAAAGAAAAAAAAAGTGTTGCAAACACTTCGATTTTAGTTTCGTCAGACCACAGATACGTCTACAAAATTAAGCTTTCTGTCCATGCGTTTGCAATCTATAACCCAGCTTTCTGTGTTGCTCTTTGGACTAACGGCTTTGTCCTCGCTGAATTGCCTTTCTGGCCATGTTGGTACAAGACACGCTACACTGTGGATCATCACATTCTCTTACCAGTTTCACCAAACTCTCACACATTTCACACCAGTGTGTGTTGCGTTCATCCCTGCGACACAGGACCTGAACGGTGGCATGGCGGGACGTTCCCACCTCGTTTATGCTACAGAATTATTATTTGAACTTTGAACGCATCCCCAGGCATTTGTATGGAAGGATGGTCCAGATTTTCCATGATGGTGCACAATGAAGCAGTGTGTTTGTGTCCTGTAACAAAAAAACAACAAAACAAAACAAAAAAAAACATCTACAGGCGTTCCTCTATTTAACTCAGATGTTGTAAATTAACGTAATCGGAGCGCTTCCAACAGTGACATCATCATCATGTAGTGTAGCCATATTATTCCCAAAAGGAACTAATTATTCTGGTTTAAAGTCTTAACAGTGAGAAAAGGAGTAGTTTTGTCTTTTTATGCGCTGTATGTAAACATTTAGCTTTAACTGTAAGTCCTGTAGCAGTTACAGAGGTTAGTCTTGGTTGTAGAGGTTTTTTTTTTGTTTGTTTTTTGATGAATTCAGAAACACCCCACATGTTACCCAGGGGGCGTCTTGTGCAGCTCAGTGTTTCCATGACACTTTAGATGAGGTATTGCCAGCAGAATGCAGTAACTATGCTGCATGCAGGCAGAAAAATCTCCAATTACTATCTATGTTTCAACCCAATTGAGTTCTAAAATTTAATTTTAAGCATTTTTTTTTTAAATCTTGTACAAAAAAAAAAAGCAAGTTAGGTGTGTTTACATGTACTGGTTTGGAGCGAATCAATCAGACGACGCAAAGCATATCTTCATTAAATGTTGACGTTACTCATGGCTGTAGTAAATAAAATTCAAATTAAAATTCAAGAATACTTTACTGATCCCACAGAGAAATTAAATGTTGTTGTAACTCATATTAATCCAAATTCTTCAAAGAGTTATCATAAATGTAGGGGTTGCAAACCAGCCCTGATCACACATTTCAGAAAAATGGAGAGTTCTCCTCTCCGAGCCGGAGGTTTGGACTTCCACCACCACCAGTGGATCCACCACTCCCATCCCAGTGCTGGATGATTGGAATTTGAAATGTTTAATTTTTCAGAGTTTTGCACCTCTTGTAAGACACAGAGCCACCAGTGGATGGGAAAGTTTGCTACGTCAAATGTTTCCATTCTATTGTGTGTTGTGCATTAATTATCATCCAGCGAGCTCTATCATGACAAGCATCGCTCTGACACATTATCTGATTTAAACCTCAACATTATGTGATACCAGTAAACCTCCCACACATACATTTGAGTCTGAGCAAACCAGAATACGCCAATAAAAACATCCTGGCGTTTGGATAGTTTCCTCTGAAATCCACCTTAACTGTATCGACTAAAACTCGCCGCCTTCTTCCCGGCAGGTCTCTGAAGCAGCAGAAGAGGCGACCGACGAGAAGGCATAAGGATTCCAACTCGTCCACTGACTCGTCCGCTCCAACTCCATGGCAGCAAAGCATCTTTTTTTACCGATGATTTTTTGTACCATACCATCTTTTTTTTCTCTCTCTCTCTTTGATTAGCGATAGCGATGGACAACCAGCAGAACCCTCATCCTCCCGCTCCCTCTCGCATCCCGTGTTGCTTTAGAATACGGCGTCCATCTTAGATGTTCAAAGGCACATTGAAGTGGTTTTATCAGACAGCTGCAGATGTTATTTGTGATGTCTGGGAAAAAAAAAACACCAGGGGATTCTGGGGCATAAATGTGACTGTTATGATCTCTAAACCAGCTTGGCCTTTTATTTGTAGTTATTCCTCTGCGAAGAAGGTCACCATTATCGCCCTGTCATGAGGAGATGCCCTGATCCCTACCCCTCTCCCTCGCCGTCCCCCAGCCTCTTTGGGGTAAGGTGAAAGGTTAAAAATGCCGAGCAGTGGGAGATCAGACAACATGAGGAACATCTGCAGCTTTAAAAAAAGGAAAAAAAAAATTTCTAGTTTTTAGAATCCATGACGCCGTTTCACATAGCTCCTTTTGTATGTGTGTGTTGGAGTGGAAGTGTTTGTGGGTATTTTTTCTTTCTTTCTTTCTTTTTTTTTGAACACCTTGTCCTGAAGCAGAGAGTGACATAGCAATAAACGAGTGGTGCTCCTGTTCTGGGCGGCTCTGTCGGCGTCGGACCCTCTGGGTTTTGGCGGAGTTTCATCCTGTTAGGAGAGAATATTTTGAAATAAAAGAAAAAGTCCATCACACATACTTGCCTCCCTCCCCCCGTCTTTCTTTCTTTTAGTGTAAATAGAACAAATGTGGGGTTTTCTGGGTCAAAGTTCAACGTGGTTATATTTGGGGTTTTACGTGACAAAATGAAACGAAGCATGATTGTGATGTTGAAAAGATTCTTTGGTTTCTAAAGTTTTTATAACCCCAAAAAATCTGAGGAAACATGGCACGCACAAGGTCAATATACGTTCACAGTTTATTTAGGTGTGGACTTTGACTGGTCCGTCCTAACACACCAATGTATTTGGTGTGTTAGGCTAAACTATGGACATCCTGGTGGCATCTGTCCATAGACAGATTTTTCTTTGTAATCGGGGTAAAATTATTACCGACATCAGTGGAAAATGTAAAGTCGAATGCAAATTATTCGTGTTTTTATAACTAAGCCTTTTATATCCGACACTTTTACTGAAATGTCGACTTTGCTGCACCTAAGTCGGCTTTCACTGAATTTACTAAACTTGGCTAAACATGGCAAGTAGTTTAGAATAATTAGTTTCAATTGAGCCCCCAATGGAGTTCTTGGAGTAATTTTAACTTTTGACCCACATGACTAAAACTTTGGACACCCCTGACCTAAACTATTGCATCATAGCTCTTCCTAAAAGACAGTGAACTTTCTAACCTTTTCTCAAGCCTTCTTCAACACTACAAGCTTCTCCATTTAAGCCGAAGAAACCCTCCCCACAGCATGATGCTACTACCACCATGTTTCGCTATTGTGATGTATATGGCAGGCCTAGGCGTCAGTAACCAATCTACGCATAACGTTTACACAGAGAACGACACTAAGTGTAAAGAAAAAACACTCTTCTTTTATCAGTCTGTTGCAAACTGCATTTTTTCTATAAAATTTGAAAGAAATGTATTAACTCTGAAACAAAATATATATTTTTTGTTCTATAATTTAAAGATACAAACACATCTCATATTGTAGGTATTACAAAGTCAAGCTATCTTGTTTTGAAGAGTCATGTTGGTTTTGTGACTCTAAAATAAGTTTTGTTGGGCAGAAATGGCTCTTAGGGTTGCAGACCAGTGGTTTAGGGAAATGTGCTGCAGTTTTCCAATGTGGCTTTTTTACATTTTACCCCCCCAAAAAGTTCCATTTTTTTGGTGTCACCTTAAACAGAACACCTTCTGTTACAAGTCTCCCTTAGTAAACTGCAGCTTCTTATTTTTGGCTTTATTTTGACAAACGGTTAGCATTCCGGAGCGCCGCTTCAATGCGTCCAGGTTTAGAAGTACTTTTTAAAGCGCTGCATGTGTGTGTGTGTGTCCATCTTTACACCTTTGCGTGTGTGTGTGTGTGTGGGAGGTCGCCACGGGCACGTGGCAGTGTTAAATACAACTGCTGTGTCAGGAAGTGAAAGGTCAGCATTTGTTGGAGTGGTGGGACCAGTGAAACCGTACGGCCTTTTCATTTGACCCGTTGTTCAAAACCATAAACCAGGAGGGTCCAAACGTTTCCTCGCATGGGTCAAAATCGTCAAGTCAAAAGGAGTTGAGAGCCAAAAAAAACATTTTCTGTTATCAACTAGCCATCCAACACCTTAGTTAAATAAAGTAGTAAGAGTTGTTGCTAGAAATGGATGTCCACAACTTGAAAGATGTGCCTAATTGAAAGTAATTTTAGAAATTTTCTGTGTATCATTTTGAAAAAGTGCAATTTAGTCAATTCTGGTCAGTAAAAATCAGGACTCTTTTTCTTTGAATATGCATGCCGTATTCAGCCGAGTTTGTTAAATTAGTTAAAATTAGATTTTCGGTGCAGCAAAGTTTGCTTTTGGGTAGAAGTCACCGGTCCTCGCAAGAAAGTGGCTACTCAAAGACGAGTACTTTGCGTCGAAGCCGATGTTTTCTACTGCGAGAAGATTTCACTTTGTCTGTGATCATTTTGTTCCAATTAAAAATAACAAGTCTCCATCTACATCAAACACCTGTAGTGATCGACCAAATTCAAGGTTTTCCATTGTAGCATCTACATGAAGACAGAATACAAACATTTTTATTTGTGTTGTGTTTATGAATCCTCATCACAAAGGGACAAACTGATGGGATTTAAACCCCCTGCAGCATTTTGTTCACTCTAGTAAGCTGTAGTAAAAACTGTGGAAACTACAGAATTGCTAAAACAATGAACATTAGAAACAAATACAGCGGTTTTAGTGTCTTAACGAGGTCTTTCGATATACGGTAACAACAGCACATTCAGTTTCTATTTGCTCCTAAGATGTCTGCCTGTTTGTAAAATAAATAATACCCTCTGATTCCTCTGTGACATGCTGGGTGGATCAGGGTGAGGTTGCCTCCTTGTGGCCGTGTCACTCCATAGGTCAGCAACTTAACTGGTATTCTTTTCTTTCTTACTTTTTTTTCTTATTTTAGCTCGCTCTTGTTAAATAAAATGTATCTAGATTTGAAAAATCTCAATGAGACAACTTTTTAGTTCTACTAATCTGTGTAAAACTGCTTTGCTGTGTGGTTACATGTTTACAAATTGTATTTGATTCCTCTTTAGATGAGAGAAAATGAAGTAATTGTCCTGAATGGAATGCTCTCTATTTATGGAGAGAAAAGAAACAATAATTTTGATTTTAAAATGCACATCATTAGCAGCCCAATGCTCCCCCCTCCAAATAAAAGAAAAAAACAAACCAAAAAGAACCCCCCAAAAAACCCAGCAAGACATAATACAGACAAAATTGCGAGCACATCTGCTAATGTTGTAAAAAATCAAAAATCTAATAAAGTAATAATTTATTGCAAAAACATAATTTCATGCTTTATTTCTAATATAACTTTGTTTGAATAAGAGTTTTGGAAAACTGTCCTGCTAATAGAGAAATTACGAAGACATTTTCAGTTAGGTGGTAAAGATTACTAATTAGAAATGACAAATTAAGTTAGAAATGGATTAAAAATGCTTCAGCGGCATGTATGTGAAAGGGATTCATAAGGCTTCAAGAAAAAGTACCATTTGTGACTTTGTACAATGCAATTATTTATTAACAGAGTTTTTTTTTCTCTGTTTAATAAATGTATTTGAATTAATGGTAGATTATTCCCCCCCCCCCTCCATTTTTCAAAGTTGATAAAATGCTACGGCAATAAAATAGTTATTTCAACAACACGTTTCTTCTGATTTGAAGTCATATGATAGAGTTCTACCTTGATAGAGAATCTGTGAAGAGAAATAAAGATTAGGGTGATGGAAAGTCGGCATTCCAACCTCAGAGACTTGGAGCTCCTCACCAAAGT